TAACTCAATGCTTGAGTGGATCTCTGAGGAGCAGATCTCTGAGGAGCAGATCTCTGATATAAATGCTTTGCAAACAGCCTATAAAGGCTATTATTATAAATATATTCTGGTTTGTGTGTGAGGAAACTGAGGCACAGGCCCAGAGAGCAGCTCTCACCAAACCCCACAACTCCACCTGATCCGTGCAGCGAACCATCCAGCCTTTTCCTGGGAACCTGCCGTGAGTGCCGTGAACTCCAGCGATGGTGAGAAGGGAGGGACACAAACTGTGTCGCTTTCCCGTGGGATTTTGTGCTCCATACCAGGCGGGAATCGCCTTTCCAAGCACACAACTCTCAGCCCAGTTCCTCCGCAAGGTGTCTTATGCCACGACATTTCTGGGCTTGATCCCCAGGACTTTGTTCCCTTGGGCCCAATTACCAAAACGCCACGAGAATCCCAAAACAATCCCTGCAGGAATCACAGGAGGTAGCTGCAGCTCTTCCTCTGCCCTCCATCCCCCTGTCACCCCTCTGCCATGTAACTGTCTTGCCCTTGGTGCTTGGGCCACAAGAAAATGATGTAATTAATAATCATTGCGAAAGTTCCTGCACCATCTCTCATCCAAGTGTTCCAAAGCTCTACACAAACGCTCAGTAATTAACACTCATAAACTGTAAATTGCATAAAAGGTACATGGGGATCTTCCAGGGGCTGGGTTGGAGCTGTCTCTTGGGCAGGATGGTGCAGCTGATCAACACCCTGTAGCAACTGCATTTTCTCTTTTGATATTGGTTTTGTTAACTGCTGCTCTTTGATACAGTTTTGTACACATGCCCAGAGGCTGGTTGGAGGATAATGAACTATTCTATATGGTTTCTGCATAATGAATGGAATTATTTAATTGGCACATAACCTAAGAGACTGCTAGTAGACTAAAACATTCAAAACATGAGCAAATGGGGAAGAATGGGATGACTCAGGGAACACTGAATTAGCAGCCTCTGTCAAAGAAATTTGCACCCGCTCCTCTTGGGTTTCAGTGTTGGGGTTGAAGAAGAATGCAGTGATTTAAATCCTTTGGGGTGGGTGAATTGCAGGCACTGCCCACCCCACTTGGTGAGGAAAACCTTCCATGTTGCAGCTCATTTTCAAACAGCAGCTCCTTTTCCAGAAACCTCACCCAACCTGTCAAAGTCTTTGGGGTAATTCAATTTTCTTTGCATCAGATTCTGCATAACTGAGGAAACCTCAAGGTACAAGAGTCTGACACGAATTGCCTTTCCTGGACTGAAATTTTCTCCCTTTTTTGGGAATGTGGGGAAGGGCTGAAGCTCCAATCCACAGTTTGTGTCTAGAGATCTGAACTGGGAGTGTGAGTGACAGCAAGTTCCGGAGTCTTTACGAGCACGTGAGAGTTTAATTGCCTGAGCAATCAGCTGAAATATGACTTCAGGACATGGGTTGGCCAATGTCAGGGAAGCTGAGGGACTCCTCCCTGAATTAAAATATTCAATTAAAAAAAAAAAAGCCTCACTGCCTGGTGGTTTTTCCCTCTCCACAGCTAGAAAAATAAACAAACTTCAATAAGATCTGAGTGGAACGATCTTGTTTGGACAGAACTAATAAAGCAGAACAAGACTTTGGCGTCTTTGACTCAGGAAATTAATCACAGGGAACTGCCCTGCTCAGTTGCAGCACAAAAACACACATGTAACAAACCATGTTGGAGGCCATTCCCATTTCTCACATCTGTGGGACAGCCCATTTATTTACATGTATTCACATGATGCTGAGATTCTCTCTCACATTTAGACTTCTCGCTACTTTGGGAATACAGATAATAAAAACTATATGATTAAGGGCTTTAATAGCCAAGATCTTACTCTGGAATCAGTAACAGTGCCCAAAATATATAAGGAGTCAAAAATGCCTTTGTGCAGAAACACACTAGAGCTTAAAAACCACTCATTCCAAACATTGCCACTGGAACTGTTCAAAAATAATACAATATTATTTCAAACAAATAGTCAGACATCTTGCAAAATAAGCAATACAGCCACTAAGAATCCAAGAATTAGTGGGGGGGGG